CAGCATAAGGAGCAGGAGCAGGAGGAAAGGATTACTTGTCAAGAATCACCGGGCAGAGGGTTCCACACGCCCCATCCTCGACTGAGAGCAGGTGAGAGGGAAGGAGGAGGAGGAGAAACTCACGGGAGATGTTGAGGGTCAAGCCATTCGAGAAACATCTGCGGGGATATGAGACTGATGGGGAGAGAGAGACGAGGCGGTACAGAGATGAAGAATGTGATAATGATGGAGATGATGATGATGATGATGATGATGATGATGATGATGATGATGATGATGGTGATGATGGTGATGACGATGATGGAGATCATGATCATGATGGTGATGTAGATGATGGAGATGATGATGATGGTGATGTAGATGATGTAGATGACGATGATGATGATGGTGATGTAGATGATGGTGATGGTGATGGTGATGGTGATGATAGAGATATTGAGATGTGCATGTAGATTTGCATGTGGATGTGGATGAGAAGGTAGAGTTTGTGGAGGAGGACGAGAGTCAATCGCATCCGAACAAACTTCTTACCGTCCTCCATCTTCGAATGAAGGCGCACAAATCCACCTGCCACGTCATCGCATCACATACAGCAACCAACACTCCTCCGACCTGAGCTGCGACCACTAGCTCCCCATGGGAGGGACCGGAAGGAGGAGGAGGAGGAGAAAATTCGACAGACGACAGCTGACTGGAGAGATCTTGCAGCTGCTGCCGATCCGACAGGTCGAGCTCCTCCGGCTGCAGCTCCTGCAGATGTTCTCTGACGAACGTTCGTACGATCTTTCTCAGCTCTTCCTTCCTCTCCTCTGGTATCTCTCCCCTGCTGGTCAAAGTCTTCAAGCACTTCCTGCCATCCCTGGTCACTACGACCGCCGAACTTCCCCTGCTAGCTACGGTCCCACCTGACCCTGACCGCTTCCTTGTCCCTCATCTCAACTTCTGATCGGCTGGAATGGAGCGGTGCACTGCACTCGAGAGCAAGCTGGGAGGCTGATCAGGAGGAGGAGGAAGGAAGGAGGAAGATCGATTCAGTTCACCTCTCTCCTCAGCTCGTTCGCCTTCATGTCGGCGAGTTGCATACATGCCGTGCACAGCAGGACGATGTCGTGGCTGGAGCGGCTTTTCAACACCTGCTCTGGAATCTCAGCAGAAATTTCCACATCTTATCTCTCACGATGTCCAACCTCCCTCTCAGACACGCACAAATCCCTTCTCGCCTCCTTCACCTGTCTTGCTCCTCTTGATCCTTTTCTGGATCCTCCTCCTCCTCTCCCTCTCCCTCTTCTTGTTCTTCTTCCTCGTCCCCGACTTCCTCTTCCTCATCTTCCTCCTCCCTCCTCTTCCTCCCCCTACAAATCTCCTTCACCTCCGGGAAGTGACGACGGTAACAGTGCGGTACGACGCTGTGCCTGTGCAGCCCCTGGCCGCTCCCGCATCGAACGCAGATGTTCTCCTTGCTCGACAGGTAGTACTCGTTCCCTTCGTGTCCTCTCCCCTTGGGCTCGAAACGCAGGCGGATAGCAAACTGCCTTCCCTCCATGCAGCTACAGCTCAGCTCGTTCAGATCGACGATGTTCTTCCTCTGCCGATTGCGCCTGCCGCCGTCAGGATCGCTGTCTTGCTGGTGCTGAGTGGTTTGCCCGGCCTTCCCTCTCCCTTCTTCAGCACATCCAGGGCTGTGAACAACATCTGCAAGCATCTTTCAGCAAGGGAAGCCAGCACAGGCTGGTAGCAGCGGAACACGCAGAGGAGGAAGCAACAACAGTCTCAACCTGCGAGCTCATGGTTGATGTACCAGAGGATCCTGTCGATCTTGATGTTGCTGAGCTGCCTCCCTTGTGGGTCCTGCGGCGCAAACAAGACAAGGTGAACTGAATCAAGAATGTGCAACGCTGGCAGGAAGAAACAGGTACAAGCGAGGCAGTGGAGGGGATGGAAGCTGGTACCAGCAGCATGCAGTTGTGGTATAAGCTCGTCTGCCTTGTAGCAAGCTTCGAAGCTTTCTCCTTGTGTCCACTCCTCCTCCTCTTCTCCTCCTGCTCCCGCTCTCTACCTACACTACTTGTGCTCTTTTTCACCCTCTTTCCCCGCTTGTCTTCCCCAAACGGAACGTCAATCAAGTGAGCATGACAACTCGCAGGGTGCAGACTGCTCCATCCCCACTGCAAGCTTGGATGCGTCCAATGCAATGACGAAGATTCTCCTCCTCCACCACAACCACCAGCTCCTCCTCCTCCTCCTCCTCCTCGTTGTGTGAACGCCTGTATGATCAGGACTTACGAGCTACCAAGGGCAAGCAAGAAACCAATCATACTCACCATGTACAGGAAGACACTCACGAGCGCATCTTCAGCGGCATACAAGACCTGGCGAGGCATCAGCCTCGTCATCAACATGTCAGGAAGGGTCATGTCACTTGTTCCTCGCCCAGCGTTTCTGCTTGCCAGTCACTCGTCGTGATGCGCTGCACTGACGTCAGCCTTGAGATCAACGTCATCAGCTCGCACCCTGTCCTTCCTCAAGTCGATGGAGAAGTGCTTGGCAAGAGACTGAGCAAGGGTCTTACTTCACTTCCTCGTCCTCACAACCAGCTGCTTCACCTTCAAGCCGAAAGCATCGACATTGTAGAGGCTACTCAGCCATCGCAAGTCCAACACCGACCTTGAGTCATCAGCGCTCACGTCAGCCAACTTGCCGATAGTTTTGACCCGAGTCACCTTGTCTTGACCCCCAGCGTCTTCTCCAGCCTCTCCGCATCCTGGGGAAGGAGAACAGTGAGCGAGTTTGATCTCAGCTGCCGCGACGTACATGCATGATGTTCACTCCGACTTTCACGATGCTGACCTCACTCAGCAGCTGCCCAAGTCTGTGGAGCCGACACGGTGCGGAAGACCTGAGGGCTTGTGCAAGCTGAATGACGAGGGTAAGGTCCTCGCATGAGAGCTCGACCCTCCCTGTCAGGTAACAGACATGACAGTAGAACCAACTACCTGCAGTACAGACACTCGTAGATCTCCGCTCTCTTCGCTCCCGTCCTCCTGGCTGTCAGTAGCCTGCGATCCTGCGCAACGTCGTCTGTCAGGAGGGACTTGCTTGCTTGACCGCAGCTTCACCCGAGCACCACTCTGCATCGAGACCGACGACAGTGGGAAACTTGGAGAGGAGGAGCGACACATCGGCCTCGATGCTCTCACACGTTCGGCTCACCTTCACTAACACCTGGCCATGTCAATGGTCACTCCCCTCCATGAAAGGCACGCAGAGGTACGAGGGAACATAGCAGGTCAGGAGTCAGGAGTAGGGGATCACTAGGACGAAGGAGAGGGTTTCGAGCGAAGGCCAAGTGGGAAGCTGCAGGGAGGATGGACTCATGTCATGCCATCGACGTATGCTGTAGTGAGGATGCCTTACCCTCTTGTCTCCTAGGAGGGTCAGGTACTCTCCTCCCTGTGACTCCTTGGGCGTCACGTCTCTGCTCCACCAGCCTCGGACCAACACTGCGAGCAACCAACTCCATCCCATGTATGTCTTTATCTGCCGAGACAGCGCTCCAATTAGCTTCCGTATCGCTTCTGTGTCCGGTTCTGGCCCCTCCTTTCCTCCCCACTTCACTCCCTCTCTCCCTCCCTCCCTCCCTCCCTCCCTCCCTCCCTCCCTTTCT